CCGAAGAAGGGTCTAGGCCCGAAACGTCAGCCTTCCTGCTCCTCTGATGCTGCTTGGCCTGCTGTGTTCATCCAGCTCTACACCTTGTTATCTCAGATTCTCCAGCATCTGCAGTTCCTGCTATCACTCCTAACTGTTTCATTTCTCTAGGTAGACGGAAGACCCTTGGAACCCAATGATGGGCTTCGGTAGCGTAAGCCCAGAAGACCAGGCTCTAGAGACACAGTTAAGCAGCAAGGCTCCCACCACAGACCTTAACCTGAAGGCATGCCATGCTGAAGACGTCTTGCAAAATCTGAACACTTTTCGTAAAAGCAGACTATTCACTGATGTTGTGCTTCGTATTGATGGTGAAGAGTTCCATTGCCATCGAGCCACCCTCTCTGCCAGCAGTATCTACTTCAGGACAATGTTCAGCACCAATTTCCAGGAGAGCCAACAGAACGCTGTCGACATCAAAGGGGTCTCAGCTGACACCATGGATTGTGTGATAGACTATATGTACGGAGGAATGGGAATCATCCGAGAGGACAACGTTCAGAGTCTGCTGGAAGCGTCTGACCTCTTCCAAGTCTCCATGCTCCGACAAGGCTGTGAGGAGTTCTTGGAGAACCAGCTGGATCCTTGCAACTGCCTTGGCTTCTTGAACTTTGCCAACCTCTTTACCATCCAGGGCTTGTCTGAGAAAAGCAAACAGTTCCTGCTGAAACATTTTGCAGAAGTGATCCAGCATGAAGAATTTTTGCAACTACCCAAGGAATTCCTGTGTGATCAGCTGTCCAGTGACGACCTAGCTATTCCGAAGGAAGAGACTGTCTTTGAAGCTGTGATGCAGTGGGTTCATCATGACCTGCCTGGTAGAAAACATGCATTGAAAGAGCTTTTGGAGCACGTTCGAATTCCCTTACTGGATCGGATATATTTTGTTGAGAAAGTCGAAATGGACGAGCTGATCCTGAGCTCGAAGGAGTGTTTACCTTTGCTGCAAGAGGCAAGGAGGTTCCACATCTTTGGTAATGAGATAGTGTCTCCAAGGACAAGACCACGGAGGTAAGTTGTGTCTGATTGTGGGGGGACCTGGTAGAGGTCATAGAGCCATATAGCACAGAAACAGATCCTTTGGTCCACGTGGACAGGGTCGATAGAAATCAGCTGTTCCCGTTAGTTGAAGGGTTAGTAACAATGGGGCGCAATTTTAAGGTGAAAGGCAGGATGCTCAGAGGAGACTTGAGGAGAATCGTTTTCAACTAGAGGGTGGTGGGAATCTGGAATCGACTGCCTGGGAAACCTTAAAGTATTTGGATGAGCGCCTGTAATGTCATAACATTCAAGGCTATGGGCGTACTGTGAAGAAGTGGAACTAGTGTAGCTTTGGTAGTATAGACATGATGGGCTGAAGGACTGTCCAATTCTATGAATGTTTCTGAGTGTCTGAGCTTGAGAGGATGTTAGGAGTAGGTTGCTGTGTGGTACGAGGTCTTGTTCTTTTGATGCTGTTGTATCTTGTTTTCTGGATCAACAGTGTAAGCCTGCAGAATGGACCGGATAAAAACCTAACCTCACAGCAGACACTTTCCTTTCACTCAGGTTTGCGAATGTTGCAGAGGTGATCGTCATGCTGGGAGGCTGTGACAGGAAGGGTCACGCAATGCTGCCACATACCGAGCAGTACAATCCAGGGACGGGTGAATGGTCACCACTGGCCAAGATCCCTGACTACTCCAAGTCGGAATATGCCGTGTGCTCCTTCAGGAATGATATCTTTCTCTCAGGTCAGCAGCTGAACCTTGGTCTCATTGTGTAGTCGGTGTAGGGGAGCTCCGTGGATGAGTGAAATCAGGAAGTGTGGGAATGTGAGTGTGTTTGTAGGTAAGAGTTTGCGAGCTTGTGTGTGTCTGTGTCTGTGTGTGTCTGTGTCTGTGTCTGTGTGTGTGTGTGTATGTGTATATCTGTGTGTGTGTGAGTGAGTGTGTGTCTGTGTGTGTGCGTGCACGTGCACATGTGTGCAAGCTTGTGAGTGTGCATATGTGTGTGAGATTGCATGTGTATATGTATGCTAGTGTGTACTGAGTGTGTATATGATGTGTATATGGGTGTGTGTGTATACATGTGAGTCTGAGTGAGCTTGAGTGTGCATATGGGTACGTGTATATATGTGTGAGTGTGTATATGTGAATATGAAACCCCTGTGCAATTAGTTTAGCCAGCTGTGTATCAGCTGTGCTAAATGGGTAGCACCCTTGACTCTAATTCACAAGGTTCTAGAGTTGTGTTCCAGTCCAGGCCTTGAGCACAATTGTCCATTCACTAAAGTCCTTTAGGGTATGAAATCTGTTCTCCTGATCAGGATAATGTGTGACTCCAGCCCCACATCAATGTGGTTGACTTTTTGTTTGTCCTCTGAAATACCGAGCAAACTTCCCAATTCCTTGGCAGCCAGGGATAGGTGATAAATGCTGATTTGCATACCCCAAGAAACAATAAAGAAATAAAATTCTTCAGTGGAAGAGATGAGAAGTATTTTTTTTCTCACCCAGTGGGCCCATTGAACAATACAACCATAGTAATAGGGAAAGGAGTAGGCCATTTGGCCCCTCCAACCTGCTCTACCATTAACAGGATGTTGGCTCATTCGACATTCCTCACATCCACTTTCCTGCCCTTTCCCCATAATCCTTAATTCCCCAACTGATCCAGAATGTCTCTATCTTGGCCTTAAATTTACACAAGGACTGTGCCCCCCCTCCACAGCTGTCTGTGGCAAGGAATTCCAAAGACGCACTACCCTCTGAGAGAAGAAATTCCTCCTCATCTCAGTCTTAAATGGGTGCCCCTTTATTCTGAGGCTATATCCCTGATCCTAGACTCTCCCATGAGGGGAAATGCCCTCTGAGCATTTACCCTGTCAAGCCCTTTAAGAATTCAACATGTTTCAAATAGAGTATTGAGTCTTTGAAACTCTTCCTCAAAAAGGTGGTGGAAGCAGAGTCTTTGAATATGTTGAAGACAGAAGTGGATGGACTGTTGATTAGCAAGGGGCAGGTTGTCAGTGTGTGCTGAAAGGGGACTGAGGCCGGTAGGAATGCAGCGTAATCAGGTCAGCCATGCATGGCAGACCAGAAAGGAAGGGCTGAATGGCCTACTCTTGCTCCGAGTTTATATTACCCGTGTATGCTTCATTTTGAAAAGCTGGGAGCAGCATGCCTTTTTTAAACAGACAACACACAGGAACCCACGTCTGGAAATTCCAGTTACTGTAGAATTCCAATTAGTGGAGTGCCAGATGAAAAGAAATTTGATAACTTTCCCTGGGGTGCTTTTGTAAACAAGTCATGTAACATCCTACTTTAATGATCAGATGGGAAGCAGATGGGCACTTTGTTGTTTCTGTCAGACTTGGAATAAAATGTCTTACCTTTATTTTGATTTACAGGTGGGAACCTGTACAGTAATGATGTGTGGATGTATAACTCTCAGCTCAACATCTGGGTCAGAGTGGCTTCTTTAAATAAAGGAAGATGGAGGCACAGGATGGTGGCACTGCAAGGCAAGGTATGGACTGGACAGTGTTTTTGTACTGACCATAGACATCGGAGCAGAATTAGGCCATTCAGCCCATCGAGTCTCCTCTGCCATTCAATGAGATCTTGGCTGATTTGACAACCCTCAACTCCACTTTCCTGCAATTTCCCACAACCATGAAAAGCTATCTATCTCATCCTTGAATGTATTTAATGATCCAGCCCTCTGGAGTAAAAAATTCCACATATTCACTGTCTGAGAGAAGAAATTCTTTATCTCTGTCTTAAAAACACAACCCCTTATTCTGAGATGATGCCTCTGGTGCTAGTCTCCCTCAATGGGAAACTACCTTTCAGCATCTACTCTGTCAAGTCCTCAAAGAATGTTATATGTTTTAATAAGCCTACCTCTCATTCTTCTAAACTTCATTGAGCACAGGCCCAACCTACTCATCCTCACAAGAGAGACCTTGCGTACCTAGTTTCAGCTGAGTGGATAGCCCCAGATGCCAGTATATCTTCCTTTATATGCTGGGACCAAACCTTTTCACGTTATTCCAGCTGTGGTCTGACTCATTCCTTGTATGGCTTTAACAAGATCTCCCTAATTTTACACTCCATTCCCTTTGTAATAAAGGCCAACATTCCGTTTACCTTTCCTGTTGATTTTGGCCTTAACTAAAGGTTGGGCTCATTTTGATAACAGGAATGTACAGCTCCTTGGGTTTGCCCCATCAACCATAGGTGATCTCTTGCGAGAGAAGTGGTGGTGTAGTGAGAATGCAAGCTCTGGAGATGGGGGTTTCAATTCCCACCACAGTGTTTGATTAAACTCAACAAATAAATCTGGAATATGCCACCATGAATCTAACATCGATTATTATAAAATCTCACCTGGTTCCTAATGGTCGGGAGAGAAGGAAATCTGCCATCCTTAGCTGGTCTGGTCCATATGTGACTCCAGACCTACAGCGATGTGGTTGCCTCTCAACTGCCCTCTGAAACGACTGAGCAATGACTTTGCATAAATGAAGAATGCCAAGCAATCCGTACATCATCTGCATCTGAGATAACAAGGTGTAGAGCTGGATGAACACAGCAGGCCAACAGCATCAGAGGAGCAGGAAAGCTGACGTTTCAGGCCTAGACCCTTCTTCATAGAATGCCTACAGTGTGGAAACAGGCCATTCAGCCCATCAAGTCCAGACTGGACTCTGAAGAGATCCAAACCATTCCTATTGTTGTGCCACTGCATTTCTCATGCCTGCACACCCCTGAACACAATGGACAATTTAGCATGGCCAGTCCACCTAACCCACACATCTTTAGACTGTGGGAGGAAACTGGAGCACTGAGAGGAAATCTACGCAGACATGGGTAAAACATTCAGACTCTATACAAACACTTGCCAGAGGCTGAGATTGAACGTGAGTCCCTGGGCCTGTGAGGCAGCAGTGCTAACCACTGTGCCACCCACAGAAATCTTGTGATCTTAGTTTTGACATCCAGTAACCACAGTCTTTGGGAGGTTGCAAGTTCCATACTTTCATGACCTTATCTTCTGGCTGTATTTTGCCTCGTTAATGCCCTCTTGTCCTTGATCTGAAACTTATGTTTCCTGCCCATTTAAAGGCCTGGCTGCAAAGGCAGGGCATTGATTCGATCGAAGATCCACTTACCTGTTCTAGGTGAATATTAAAGACCTCATGAGTCACAGAATGACAAACTTGTTACTGTGCTGACGGAGGCCCCATTTGGCTCATCATACCTGCATCAGCTCTCCACATGATCAGTTTACTTATTGTGCCATTTCTCCCACCTTCTCCTTGTAAGCCTGCACGGTCCCCCTGATCAGGTAATAGTCATGCTCCCTTTTCAAATCCTTGATTGAACTCGCCTCCAATGCACTCTTGGGCAATACATTCCAGAAACAAAACAGAAATTGCTCAACATCTGTGGAGAGAGGAACAAAAATAAAGTTGCTAGAAAAGCCCAGCAGGTCTGGCAGCATCTGTGAAGGAAAAGACAGAGTTAACATTTCGGGTCCAGTGACCCTTCGTCAGAACGTTACAGCATCCACAGTCCTTTCAGTTTTTATCTGTGGAGAGAGTGCAGAATTAACGTTTCAGGTCCAGTTACCCTTCTTCAGAATTGACTGTAGCTGGTGTAAGGTTGGTATAGATGCCGAAGATGGGGTGGGGATTAGGAGTAAACGATAGGTAGAGATGGAGCCCAGAGAGAGAGAAACTCAGTTGGGCAGATAAAGGAATGGGTAAAAGGCAGCCTGGGAGGATAAATAGCTGCTAATGGGCACTGTTAGTGGCTGACAATGGGTTGTTTGTGGTAGCGGCCCATGTGCTGACCTGGTCTGGTGTGTGGGGTTTGGGATAACGACATGGGAGAAGGTGCCTCAAGCCCTACTATTATTGAACTCGATATTGAGTCCGGAGGGTTGCAGGGTCCCCAAGCAGAAAATGAGGTGTTGTTCTTCCAGCTTCTCTGGACTGCTGCAGCAAACTTGAGACAGAGATGTTGGCCAGGGAACAGGGTGGTGTGTTACAGTGGCAAGCAACTGGAAGCTCAGGATCATTTTTGCAGGCAGAATGTAGATGTTCTGTGAAGCAGTCAGCTAGTCTACGCTTCACTTCTCCAATGTAGAGAAGGCCACATTGTGAGCAGCAAATGCAGTAGATTAGATTGAGTGACGTGCAGGTAAAGTGCTGCTCCACCAGGAAGGTGTGTTTGGGCCCTTGAATACTGAGGAGGGAGGAAGTAAACAGGCAGGTGTGACACCTTCTGCAGTTGCAGGGGAAGGTGCCATGGGGCTGGGAGGGGAGTGGGGTGTATTGGGGGGAAGGAGGAGTCGACCAGAGTGTCCCGGAACGAACAGTCCCTGCGGAAGGCGGACAAGGGAGGGGAACATGTGTCTGGTGGTGGCATCCTGCTGGGTGTGGTGGTACTGATGGCTAATGGTCCTTTGGATGTGGAGGCTGGTGGGTTAGTAAATGAGGACAAGGGGTCCCTTTCACTGTTGTGGGAGGGAAGGGAGGGGTGAGGGCTGAAATGTGGGAGATGAGTTGGACTCAGCATAGGACCCTATCAACTACAGTGCTGCGGAATCCTTGGTTGAGGAAAAAGGTAGACATTATGGAGGCCCCCTTAAAGAAACAGGCATCATTGGAACAGATGAGATGAAGAAACTTGGAGAATGGAATAAACTCTTTACAGGAAACAAGGTGTGAGGATGTATAGGGACAGCACAGTATGGAGCTGGAGGAACACAGCAGGCCAGGCAGCATCAGAGGAACAGGAAAGTTGACATTTCAGGTTAAGTCCCTTCTTCAGAAGAAGAGCCCTGACCAGAAACATCAACTTTCCTGCTCCTCTGATGCTGCCTGGCCTGCTGTGTTCCTCCAGCTCCACACTGTGTTATCTCTGACTGCAGCATTGGCAGTTCTTACTATCTCTCATGAGGATGTATAGTCAAGGTGATAATGGGAGTTGCTGGATTTTTAACCAGACACTGACCGCTTGCTGAAGAAGAAGAATTTCTTCAAGTCACTTTTGCTTTTTTTCCTTTTTTACGTTAAATCTGTGCTCCCTCATTCTCGATCCTCTCACGAGTGGGAGCAGACTCTCCCATTTACCCTCCAGAACCCGCATGATTTTGAACACTTCAGTCAGATCCCTTCTTCTCTCCAAAGAGAACAATCCCAAACTCCCCATCCACTGAAATTCCTCCTTCCTGGAATCATTGTTGTGAACATCTTCTGCACTCTTTGCAATGCATTCACATTCTTCCTTTCATGTGGTGTCTGCAACTCTACATGAACTCCAGATGAAGCTAAACTAGTGTCATGTACAAACTCAACCTCACCTCCCTCTCTGTGCTCCGCATCTGTTTTAATAAAGCTTAGGATACTGTAGGTTTTATCAACTTCTCCTAGCTATCCTGCTAACTCTAATGTCTCATGCCTGTATACACTCCAGATTCCCCTGCTACTTCACACATTTTAGAATTGTGCCCTTTATCTTATATTGTCTCCCTGTGCTCTCTCTGTTAAATTGCATTGTCTTATGACACGGTGGCTTAGTGGTTAGCACTGCTGCCTCAAAGCACTAGGGACCCGGGTTTAATTCCACCCTTGGGCAACTGTCTGTGTGGAATTTGCACTTTCTCCCTGTGTCTGCATCAGTTTGCTCCGGTTTCCTTCCACAGTCCAAAGATGTGCAGGTTAGGCAGATTGGCCATGCTAAATTGCCCATAGTGTCCAGGGATGTATAAGCTAGGTGGGTTAGCCATGGGAAATGCAGGGCTACAAGGTAGGAGGTGGGGCTGGGTGAGATGCTGTTTGGAGGGTCAGTGTGGACTCGATGGGCTGAATAGCCTGCTTCCACACTGAAGGGATTCTATGATTTCCAGACTGTGTATGTGTGCATGGATGTGGGAAAGTTGGTGAGAGACAGTTAGGGTATGTGTATGTTAGTGTTACTATGTTAATCTTCCACAGCTTTTGTCCGAAAGTGGCCTTTCAGTTGACTGAGCCTGAGTGAGTTCTTTCTTTCAAAGAGAAATCCAGTCTGTCCAACCATCCCCCAATTTCACAGTTGAAAATAGCTTGACATCACTGTGACATTTTCGATTGCCTGCTGGTTTCACTTCCATCATGACTGAGGCTAGAGGCTTGCATTGCTGTACTAGTCCTACTGCTGCATGAATGACAACAAAAACTAAAAATACTTTCTCCAGTTCCTGTGATGACCAATTAAATATCTTTATCTACATTTGGTTTCAACATAACCAGGTTCCTTAAAGAACACCATCATCGGTTTATTATCAAAATGAAACTTCATCAATTTCTCTGCAGAAATTAGCCTTTTGTAAAACACTTTCCCCAATGAGTTACTATTAATTATTATTATAATAATTATAATTATTCTTTATTGCAAAGGATGAAATGTAGAATGTTCTGAAGTCTGTTGCTCTGAAGTTCTATGTATGTGGCCAAATCACTCATCATGATGTCTTTG